TGCTTTGTCTACTGGTCAGTGGAGTTACTCCAAAAAGTTTACAGATGATGGAAGGACATCATTTGCATAATCTCCACCACCACTAAAACCATATAGATTGCTTACACAATCTCTGGCTATCGAAGCTTATTATTAATATAAAAGTTTAAGACTTATGTTTTGTTCTTTTCCAGTGCAGGTCACCATAATTGCAAATTTATTTGTTTGTTATTTGAGTTGTTTAATTTCAGTGGTTTTATTTTAGATAACTGCACTCTTCCTGTGTCTTCATTAACTTCACCTGTAGAATCAGCATCCTCAGGCTCACAGTCTGACGTAAGCCAAGGACTAACACCACGAGACTCAGAAGTTTTTGATTTTGGTGTTCAAGACAACTGTGAACAGTCCATATTTGAAAAGAAGAAAATGAAGACACGCTCCAGCTCATTGTCAAGGTTTTTTTCGCGGGGAAAACAGCGAAAGCCTGTGTTTAAGCTGGTAGTTAGAGGCAAGTGACCATTTCTTTATGTTACAGATTGATTCAGCCATTCTTGTCAGTTGTTTGAACTAGTGCCTGCTTTAGGACCAGATTCTCAACAACTTCCCAAATACAAATAATTTTATACATGAAATTGGGATGCCGTAATGCCCAAGAAATTATTTCTAGGGTATTACATCTAGTAATAATAATAATTAACAACTTATATTGCGCCTTTTAACATGCAATGATCAAAGGCTTATCATGTCATAAATTCCGAAAATTATATCAAATTTTTAAAAGCTAGTTAAAGCCATTGACTCCTGTGCCGGCCGTAACCAGCCGTGATGAGCCTTGGCCTTTCTTCCCCTTCTGACGTCATCACCCTTGACCAAAATTGGCATCATCTATGCTCAACTTCTGCAGGAGGAAAAGATCTTTCCAAGGATACCCAGATCAGAGTGATCAGCCCAGTGGAGCCTGAGATATGCACCAAAATGCTCAAAAAGTTGAGTAAAAAACTCAGAGCAAAATTTCCTGCCCCTACACATGGCTACTCCATGGCAAAAATTGCCTGTCTCAATGATGCTTTCTCAGAATGTTTTAAAGTGGAAGCAAGCCCAGTAGAAGATCAATCACTGCAGCATAAAGAAAACAAAAGGAGAAAAAGGAAAGGCGAAAAAAATAAAAAATAAAAAAATCGAAAAGCCTAAAGACGTAGCTCACTTTCTTGTCCATCTCAAAATTTTAATTTCTGCACATGCCTGAGCAAAAGTGTTGTAAAACGCAATGCTAGTGGAAAGAAGGCATGCTGTCATGTTGCAAATGCCTTTCTGAGTAGATTGGAGCTAATTTGGCCCATATCCAGCCTGAAAATCTCCAAAATGTCCAAAAAATGTGTTTTTGGCGAAAAGCTCCAGGAGTCAATAGGTTAAAAAGCTATGCTTTGAGTAAGGATTTAAACTGTTGAACTGTGTTTGATTTCCTTAACAAGATGGGTATGGCATTCCACAATGTGGGAGCAGCAACAGAAAAAGATCTGTCTCCAAAAGATGTCAACATATTCTTCCCATGAGGGAAGTCAGGTAGTAATCCATCATTTGATCGCAGCTGATAGATGGACTTGAGAAGAAATTTGTTTGACGTGAACCTTACTAGATTCATGTACAAACACTTGTACAATTTTGCTGTTCCTTAAAGTAAGCCTAATTTAGCAGTCTTTTAATGCCACATGCATTGGCCTTTTTCATGTTATGGACCTAGATTTGCATGTCATAAGCATGTTGAAGAAGTTTACTCATGAAAAAACTTTGATCCCAGTTAAATGATCCAGCCACTTTGAATTGCGAGTTGTTTTGTTTTGTTTTTTTTTAAGAAATTTGGTAATCAAGATTTAGACATGCAAATAATATTTGTTATTAACAGAATTCCCAGACATTGACAATGTGAATAAGCTTCCCACCAGCGCAAGTTTTGCCGAGAAAAAGCGTGTGTGGGAATTACACAAGGACATTCCCATGGTGTGCTGGAAAGCCAACATGGTTTTAGCTTGGCTGGAGGTTGAATGCCAGATGCCTATGTACTCACAAATGTGCTATGAGAACATTAAAAGTGGGAAACTTTTGTTGGAGCTTAATGATAGTGAGTTAGAAGCTGGACTTGGTTTGGGAAACACAATGCACCGACGCAAATTGAGGCTGGCCATTGAGGACTACAGGGACCCATCAGTTGTGTAAGTTGTGCTCTTTATGTGTCCATGAATGTACGTTACTCTCTATTTGTCATACAAAGTAATGTGCATGTATGTATATTACATGAAACTTCCCAACAACTTAATGTTGCAATTTTTAACTAAAGGTGATGTACAAAAACATTTTCAACATTTTTCTAGTTGTAAACTTATTTTTGTGACTTTCTTGATTGTTACATCAACTTCAAGCAATTTACATTTATATAATATTGGAAAAGGTCTACACCAAAGTTTTATCATAATAAATTCATTTTTATATATTAATCATTTAATAATTATGACCGGTAAAATTACTTTGACATTGTTATTGGCTGAGAGCAGGCCAACTTATCATTCAGTTTTTATTTGCACCTGGGTGTTAATTTTCTCAGTGAAAAAGAATAATCGCATCAAAGCTCAAGCTATAAGGATTTTCATGAATTGTGTTATTTGAAAACTTGTTCAAAAATGCCATGCAATTTTAAGAGAATTTTCAAGTATCACACATGGTGTAAAATCTTTAATGCGTTCAAATTGACATGATTCTATACTAATAAGAAACTATTTTACAGAACTTCTTAATTTTGTAAGTATTGATTGCCTATAACTGTTCTTTTGCAGTAAGTACCCTGCAATTTCCTCTGTGGATCACATTTGGGTGTCCCGTGGGTGGATTAGAGAGCTGGGTCTTAGCCAGTATTGCTCTGCATTTGAAGCTCAGATGATTGATGGAAGGTTATTAAATGTTCTTACAAGGAAAGACATGGAAAAATACCTTAATGTCAGCAAGAAATTCCATCAGGTAAGAACTATGAATGATAACATGAGCCCTGCATGAAAGTTATAATGTTCATTTAACTGTGATGGGGTCTATGTATAATTTTGCTGATGTAATGTAATTGGATTAACACCCTCTCGGTTTATCAATGTTTATTTGAAAAAAAGGAACATTTTTTTCTGACTAACTTGGCCTCTTTTGGGGAGATTTTTCTTTTTCTTTTGTAAACTTTGGGTAAAATGACTGACTTTAATTAAAAACAATATTGTTGGCCTTGAAGGCTGGAAGTAACCTGAATGTACTATATGGTTAGATTTAGCTTAAGTTTGTACATTTATGTATACTCAGATATTGTACAGTCGTGAACTAGGAAAATGTCCCTTCTTAATGGATGCCTTTCCAATAAAGAATATACTTTGTAGTATACCGGTAATTATTTTGTACTGATTCAACATTTATAATCATGCAACAAATTAATCAGTCATCTATCTACCTTGCATTGAATGTGGAAAAACACACTTCAATATGTTATTTCATTTCTTTCTTTTATCAGATAACTATTCTTCATGGCATAAGGTTGCTACGCATGATGGAGTTCAACAAGGAGGTAAGCCATCTGTACACTGTTCAGTTACATACCAACACTTGTACAGTGTTGATCAGAAGAAACCTAACAGGGAACGTTTGAACGTGTTCTGTTTCCGTTCCACATGCATTCCCATTCCTGTTCTGTATCCGTTCCGTACCCGTTCCATATCCGTTCCATGTCGGTTCTCTATCCGTTTTGTGCTGTTCTGTTCCCATTCTGTTAGCATTCCATTGGTAAGCTTCTTGGAACTCGTTCAGAAGAATGAGGTTTCCCAGAACCCGTTTACAAGATTAGTGACACTAATTTGCATTTCATGAAGTGGGTTAAAACTGTCATCTTATGGGAGAATACGAACAGTAAACTTAAATTTTTGTGGTGAAAATGTGAGTCCAGATACTCGAAAAACTCGGGAAGATGGTATTGTAACTTCAAGGCCAGTTAGTAAGTCTTTTTCCGAAACTATACAAAGTGACCGGTAGTCTGTGTGATTGCTTGAGGAAAGGAAGACCATCCATCTTTGAAATGCAATTGGGCTTGCGATTAAGCCCAGTTCACCACAACAACCTTTGAAGATGGCATTATTTTGCATGTGGGCTTACTCAATGGCTATACTGGAAAATGCCTTCTCAGCCTTCATAACAATCCAGTAATTCTGCTTGTTGTCTTTGACTGTTCATGCCCCTGGTTTGCATAGTGGAAGCCATCATGCACAAATAGTATGGTCTAATGAGTAAAGCCATGGAACAAGGACTTCAAGTGTTTTAACATAGAATGGAAATTTCATTCACAAAGCGGGATCTAAGGGCATGAAGACTTCCAACCTGAGAATTATGTTCTAAAAATGAAAAGTGGGCTCCTTTCACCTGTAGAGGACTTCCTTTCATTCAAAAAGCTCTATATATACACCAGGACTGTGGAGAAAATACTCTCTTGGAGTTTCTGGAGGGCTAAAACAGTTACTGAATAATGATATACATCAGCAAAACTTGTTTATAAATCACACTTTCGACATCAAACCAAAACTGATCCTCTACAGGGTTCCCTTATTTGGCACCTTTTGCAAATTTTTCTGTCAGTACGGTTTGTATCATTTGCATACCTGGCAGTGATTGTAGGCATATAATTCTTGATAGACCACCCATATAGTCTCCTTGTAGTTTGCTTTTATTTACTGCCATTTGCTTGCAGTTAGCATTTATATACTGTGTTTGCTTGCGGTTAGCATTTATTTACTGCTGTTTGCTTGTGGTTAGCATTTATTTACTGCTGTTTGCTTGCTGTTAGCATTTATTTACTGCTGTTTGCATGTGGTTAGCATTTAAGGGGTGAAGGGGAAGGCGACTACAATGTATATGTGTCCTACCATGAAGTTCATACCCGATTGTATATTTTTCTAAAAAAACCCACAATATTAAAAAAGTGCTTATAAGTAGTTTTTTTAAAAAACATTTCAGAATAAAAACTAGCAGTGAAAAACGACGTTTCGATCTCTCTGAGATCATTTTCAAGTTGAAGAAAAAACGAATGAAATAAACATATATGAGTACAAATTAGGGCGTGAGAATGTCAAACGATAAAATATGTAAATGCAAATGCTAAAATGTAAGTGTTAAAATAATAAAATACTATAAAGAAAACCTATTCAAATAACTTTGCATGGAGTGAATCTGACTGTTTGTTCAAGGATGGCTTAAGCTCCTTTATAAAGAGCATTTCGTAGATCAGGCAGTCATCTGTATTGTACATGATTTTTAGAGGGCCACTGGTTTGTTAGTATTTTTATACTATTTTAGTGCTACCCTCTTTAAATAAAGTCTTTACTTACTTACTTACTTACTAANTTTTTTTTATGATGGCTGTTATGGAAAACTGCACTTTTACCAGCTGTTTACATGTACATGCACATGTACATTGTATTTGTAGCCTGGCTATATAAAAGTCCAGTTTCAAGTTAACCAAGACCACTGAGTAAAGCCTCATCTGTACAGTGTTAGTTAAGGATCTGACGAAAATCATTCATAAAATACCCACAGAAAAGTAATGATGAAGCAATTCACAGAGTTGTCAATACTTCATGCTATCACTGGTGGTTGTGAACATCAAGACTAACCCTGTGCATATACATCTTTAGTTTTTATTAAGTAGCTTAGTTAACTCAAAACTGGACGATTGTCAAACTTAATATATAATAATTCTCTTCTCCTTATGTAGTTGTTAGTGGATCGTCGAAGGCAAAGTGAAGATAATGACTTGGATCCTATTGTCTGGACTAATGAGAGAGTTGCAAAGTGGTGTCGTTCAGTGGACCTGGGTGTAAGTTAGCTTCAGTACACACACTGTGTATAGTATATCTACAGCAGTTCACCTTTGAACACATTGCATTATTTGCCACAGATCTACTGATGTACTTTTAACAAAATTGTTCCCTGCCATTTCTCAGACTCGTGAATAATGCATCAAGGTTAAACAAAAGAAATCATGACTGCAACAGTGTTTGGATATTTGACCTCAATTAGCACAGATTTTTATGATTTTATTGCGTTTTTCTCCTTAGTTTTAGTTTTGATTAAGACAATATATCAAACACTCAAGACAGTGTTTGACCACATATTGAACACCTCTTAAATAGTCGTTTTATCTTAAATAGTCTGCTTATGGCCCTATTCTCCCAGAGGAGAGCTAGGAATTAGTAGTAGTAGTCTGCTACACGTTAGATTCTGTTCTCAGTGTTTGGGAATGTGGTCAAAGACAGACATTTGTATTTGATATATTACATGTCACATCAGCCAATGCAGTAACAATGATTTCATTGGCTCTAGTCATTATGTAATTTAATACGAGAAATGTTCAGCAATATGATATTGAAGTGGCCAGATTTTGTTGTTGAGCAGGTAGGCCTGCACATTCCTGGGCAATTCTGTTACATAGACATCTATCAAAGTTCAAGGAAACCTTGAAATACATGTACATGTATTTGCTCAGAACTGGAGATGCCAAAATTAGCCTTGATGGAAATAGACCTGTAAACCCCGGAGAACCTTCCACTTCCCTCCCCTCAATCTGTGATTTCAATTCAATGGGTACATTTTAATGACCATTTTTTTTAAAGAAATTGAAAGGAAATTTTAATAAGTGTAGAAATAGTTGTTGATGTCAGTTTTGTATGCATAGGAATACGCTGACAACTTGAGAGACAGCGGTGTTCATGGTGCTTTGTTAGTCCTTGATCCTTCATTTGGTGCCAGTGAACTTGCTCAAGTTCTTGGTATCCATTCCTCCAAGAACATCATCAGAAGACATTTGACAGCTGAGCTTTTGTCTGTGTTGATACCAGCAAGGTACGTGATACCAGAGCTTGACATAAGAGCTTCTGGGTTGTACCGTCAATAAAGATAGAATGGAGTTCAAAGTACCCTTAGGATCTCAACATTCTGATCCTTACACTTCTGATTGAAATTTGTAGTTTCTTAATCATCTAACTCTGTCAGTACATGTAGGTTGACCCACCTGATCCAATGTGTTGTGGTTCTTCAATATATAATTTTTATTACAGTCTTCTAGCTTTGCACCATCATTCCCACATGTTAGTTACAAACACCTTTTCTTTGAGATCTCAAAATTTCTTTGTTTCCTTTGTACTTTCATAAATGAATAAATGAGGGATAAAATTATGCAATCAGTATAGATGTTTGGTGTTCACTAAGGAATACATCTTAATGAGAATATCAAAGGATTGCTAACTAAAGTGGAACATTCTTCTTCAGTTAACAATACATGCATACATGTATGCAAATAAACGACTCACAATTTGCTACGCTGTGTTTGTCAATAATTTGCAGAGATGCAGTAGATTCTGGGGAGACTGAAATCAAAGGCAAACAGAAACAGAAGAGACAGCGTTCCCTGAGTTTCAGCTCTGGTAGCAGAAGCAGCATGCAGTCAGACATAAAACGACACAGTCTTAGGGTAAGTCACTGTATTATTATCAATGGACAAGTCTGTGTTACTTTTGGGAAAATTACAGTCTTCAAATTTTGTTTCATTTTTCCTACTAACTACTATTTTTCTGACAATCAATAACAATTACTATTTTAATATTGGAATATTAGTAAGACGATTAGGAGAATGTCATTGGCTGAGTTTTCTTTCTTGCTAAACCTCTAAATTCTCTAACTAACAATGATTAAGGACAATGTGGCAATCTGTTGACAGATAAGTAAGAATCCATCAGAGGTTGCTAATAACAAAATCATGATATAAAATGGTAAATGGCAACCTTTTAATTTCATGCAAGATATATTTCATTGTATAATTATCATAAAAGAAATACTTTAGACACAAAAGAACTTCCCTAGAAAATTTTAAACCCTCTTTGGGATTAAATATTTGATGTCTGTCTTTGGTAAAGTTGAGCGTAACTAAAAATCAGTTTGAATAATCAAAATTGCCACTTAGACTTAAACATTTAAAGTACTTGTATGTGTAATTTTCGGTGATTTTGTTTTATTTTTTATTTTAAAATGAGCTGCATATTCCTGTAATTCCTTCTTTTCTATAGTGAACTAAAGAAAACTATTGACTTAAAAGAGTTCTTAGTGGTAACTAATTTCACTGTTTTCTAACCATTTCTTTAGCTTTTGTTATGTAGAATGCAGGTTCTTCAATCCAAATATTCTGCTGAACAAATTGCTGTCGTGTTGTAAACCTCTCTCTTTAGAAGGTCACGCTCTGTGCTAAATCAACTATGGAGACTCATCTCTGAAGCCGGCTGCTGAGTAATTTCACTTCAGTTCAATGTAAATACTGTTGAAGTCTCTCATGGCCTTGTGAATGCTCTCAACTCTTATGGTTTGAATTTCTTTTCAAACAGTTTTTAAATCACCAATTGCTAACAGCTTTCTAAGTAATATATAAATTCTTGGTAACCAGATCATGAAAATGTCTTGACCAAAACTGAAATTCTTCTAATGTGTGATAAAAATACAGAAGAATTTCATGCTTTCTCTTGAAAACTTAACTTCAGACTCCTTAGCATTAAAACTGGCAAGAGTGAAATAGCAGCTATAAGATATGATTGTAACCTTAAACAAATTAAAACTTTGATTAACCTGTTAACTGGTAATGTGTCATGCAATTCTCTGAAAAATGGCTGATAATTGGATACGGTGGTTAACTTCAAGTTGATGATTAACATAGCAGAACAGAGTAGAACAGTTTCTATGAAACTAATAGCTTTGTTCATTTTTCATGCAATTGATGTTCACGAATGTCGCAAAACAAGTTGTATGTTATTGTAGGATTGAACGGTGTGACGAAGCTTTAACAGGTAATTGAAGTAATTTCCGCTCTATATCTGTTAAATTGATTTGAATTGCCACCAGGTTTGCTTTGCCATTTTGAAAGCTCTTTGTTGTCAGTTTTGTTTAATGTCATGTGACGCCTCAGCTCAGGGAAAAAATATCAACATGCAAGGCAGAAACACCAAAAGTACATGCCTAAAAATTTCGGCATCACATATGTTGGTGTCTGATTATTTTTTAACCGAGCGACAGTCAGTTACAGCCTCTAGAGGATCATTGTTATGTTACATCATCAGTGAAGAATTTTTCAACTCCAATCTGTCTCTCAAGCGACTGCTTTCTCAGCTTGTTGAATTGTTAAAAACCTAGTTCTCTTTGAAACGCCATTACGATATATTGAATAATAATATGAATACTGAACCAAGAGATTTAGAGCATTCATCCGTCTGTGAGGAGAGTTCAATAATTTACTTATCTTCTTTTTCTGTTGTTGTCTATTATTAGTTCCTTTTAACTTCCCTAGCTCGGTTCTGCATGTGTTGACCAGCATGTTGCTTGGCTTCCCTTACTTGTTCTACTACTCTACCCTTCTACCACTCCTTGTCAAGTTTAACCCTAACCCTCCTTCCCTAATATGTACATTGTAAGATTACCTACCGGCCTATCCACTTATTAGACTGCCTGCTTACATATTCAGCCATGTCTTGCTTACCTACCTTACTTGGCTTACCAATTCATCAAAGGACGTGCATATAGCCTTTCATTTCAATATAGGGTTCCGATCTGGGGGGAGGTGGCAAGGAGACGGGGGAAGAGAGGGAGGGGAACATTGCACTTACTGTGTCAAAACTCTCAATCGTTAATATCCCTGGCTCCTTCAAAGCTTACCTTCATGTATTGTTGCCTGATTCTCTCCTTTTTATATCAGTATAACTGTACTTTTTCCGTGTCTTTCCCTATTGATTCGTGTTGACCTTCAACACTTAACTCTTGGCTCATAACGTAGTCTAACGAGCAAATACCCGCAGCAATAAATTTATTTCCATGTAAAGTTAAAATCTTGTAAAATCCATGATGGTTTTATTAATATCAATTTCATGTAAAAGTTTACTGTAAAACGGACAGCTAGGTAAAGTTAACTTGGGTTATCACTGTCAAAGGGAACTTGTAAACCAAAACAAGAGTATCATATATCCCATTCACACCGACATAACTTAAGATATGTCTCATAACTTAAGATATGTTAGCAAGGTGGTTTGAAATTTGTCTTCTTAAAATGAATGCAAAGAGTTATTGAAAAATTGGAAAAACCTAAACCTGATGTAGTTAAACTAGTTTAGTTGGTGTGAATAGGGTATTAGAGCGATTTTCATTTGAGCGTCTAAAGTAATTTGCTTTGGTTTAAGAAAAAACTTGTGCCACTCGTATTTGTGTACAGTCGAACCTCGATCGAACGGATTTCTCGATTATCCGGACTTTTTCTCTAGTCCCAATTTTGTCATGAATATGTACTAGTCATGATCAAGATCCGTAGCAATATTCTTTTCAAAACTATAGCATCGAAAAGTGCAGTCAAAAGCGAGTTTGTCTTGCTTTTAAAGAGCAAAAGCAGCGCTCGCACGCGTCGTAACTAATGAAGAACACTCGAATGAGTTCTGATTGGCTCAGAGTTGAGTGGTTCAAGATATACAGTAGACCATATTGGTTTCCAAACGATTTGTAAACGAGTTGTTTCACGATTAAATGATGCTTTATTTAACAGTTTTGTTCTTCATTAATATTCATATTTTCGATTATCCGGACCCTCGATTATTCGGACTATTTCGTCTAGTCGCAACGGGTCCGGATAATCGAGGTTCGACTGTACCTTTCTTAATTTTCTCAAATTTAACAATTTTTAGCTACTGTATATTTACAATGTTTGCTCAGGCCAGCCAGAAGACCACCTGAGGGTGAGGTTGCCTCCTAGCTAACGATATTTTATTATTTTCATTATTACATTGGTCATGGAGTTTTGATTGGCTCAGTGGATTGTCTGTGTTGTTTCTGATTGGCCAGAGTGATTCTCAGTTTTGGTTTTGGCTTTATGAATCTCAGTTGAAAACTGCTCTATTTTATCATGTGATTTGTATCGCCATGCAATTTCCAACAATCCAACAGCTGTGCTTTGTTTCCCTCACGGTATTGGCTTCACTATAAGGAGTCATACTGCGAACTAAATAAGGAATATTGAACCCTTCACGCTCCAGAATCTAATGTATCCTAAACATGCCAATACACATGTCTAAAGTATGTATAAACAGTATACGGTTCACAAAACTGAAGAAGCAGATCATCAAATGAAGTGGCTTCACATTCAACCCAATATCGACTTCCTGTTTCCAGCTCATGTTCGTGTTTAATTCTACCAGTAAACAAGAGGTTCAAAACAAAGCATTGGACGCAAAAAATACCAAGCTTGTTTCGATCCTCTCGATTACTTGCTTGATGAAAACCAAATCACGTCAAAATGAGTATCTACTCGCAATCCGTGTGCTTTGTCGTGTTCCCCAAACCAGGGAAAAAGCCTGCGTGTTTGGTTGCGCAACTTTTGGCACCTTAAATTTTCGAGAATTTAAGGTGGCTCTGGACCCTACCTACAGAACTTTAGTAAACTTTGCCAAAAGTTGCGTCTTATCATGCTTATCAAAAGTTGATAATATAAAAAAATTTCACAGTGCCGTTTTTGAATTATAAGCCCCCAAAAGCTGTAATTAAGGGTCTTTTAGGAGGTCATACTGTTGCTATGGTAACCTATTGTGTCACGAAAATGATAACAACGTGTTCACCAATGATTGGGCAGTTATTTGATGCCGTGATTGTAGCATCAAGTGATGAAGAGTGGTTATAACGACCAATCAAAATCTAAGCGTTGGAAACTGTTTTGAGCCACCTTAAATCCATTTTCCCAAAACGGGACTTAGGAGAAAGCAACATTTCGTGCTATTAACGCTGTTGAATGTTATTTCTCTTCAGGATTCATTGCTGCTTCGATCTCAGGGTACAAAGTACAGACCGACAAGAACCAGCAGCGATGGAACTGATGTCTCCACCTCAGTCTACCCTGGCGTGCAAATGAGACGTTCATTTAGAAGATCTCGCTTGAGACCTAAATCATCTTCACAATAAAGAGAAGTAATATTAACTGTTCGATGTAAAATAAACCGCCACAAACGCTCCACGTAGTACCAAGTACAAGTGTAGTTTGAAATTGAGGCTTTATGGTGACAATAATTTTATTTCATACATTTGTTGTATATTGTTGTAGTAAATGCCTCTGTCCCTGGAGCGCCTATCAGAATTTTATTTTTTTATTGTCATTCTTGTCTCCAAAATTTTTAGCTCATTTCAAAAGAATTACTATGCGGTGTTTTTCCTTCCATTACGTCGAGAGTCATTGAGAGTTTGTCACAGTCCATGTTGAATAAAAGTAGGAGTGCATTCAACTTCTTTTCGCTCAATCGTTAACTCGGCAATCAAAAATTTTATTAGTATTTCCTGGTTGTCAGGAATCTTCGTTATGTGTACGGGCGTTTGATTACTCAAGCAAAGCCTTTTGTTTCTTCAGTCACATTTGGTTAATTGTGCACTCCCTGCATTAAAACTGAACTAATTATCAGTGTTGACGCAAAGCGTTATCGTTTCAAGGGTTATTTTATACTTGACGTATTTTTGTATTCCGACTTTACAAGAGGAAGGAAAACGTTGCGCTTCGCTTACATTATGACGCAACAAATTTGCGAGAGGTTGTTATGAGACCGGCTATATGACATATGACGTAAATATGACGTCAGTGTGACGTTTAATTTGACTATGGTTACTCTACCCATGTTTACATGGAATGGTAATCACACCAGACAAATTGAATTCTGTTAGAACTACACCACTTATTTTTGCCAGATCTTTTTATTGTGCAAAATTAGTAACCACGAAACGGCTAGAAATATCGTAGGTATTAGTCATGTAGTTGTACGGTGAAACAATCTAGTTATACAAGTCGGTTTGACGCTTGTTTTAAAGGTGTCTGTATTAGTAATTACAAGTGGTAATGAATCTGCTGTAACATGGTTTGGTGCGAAACAACACTGTGTTTGTGTTTAGTGCTAAGAACACAGCAATGTATCAGACCATCTTATAAGAAGCATTTACGGTAATGCCATTTATTTTAGCGTGCGCAAACGGTCTCTAAAATTTTGTCGGGACCAATTTTAAGATGTACAAAAGCCACGTGCAAATATTGAGAAACGGACATAACTTCCCGTCCAAAATATAAACATAATTACTCGGCTGCCGTCAACATTATTACCACTAACATATCGCGCAAAAACGAGGGAACCCCATCTCAACCAAATAGAAAAGGAATTTTAAACATTAGAAATAGATTATACGCAAGAAAATGGAAATTCGGATCACTCAATGATCCTAGATGTTCTTTTACGACACAACGTTTTACACTTTTACATTTTAGATTGTAATATATAGAAATGATGAACAATTTTAATTTAATACTTCTGAAGAGCGATATTTAATTTAGATTATTTGAAAGAATTCTAATTTATTTAGTTGTCTTAATAGAGAACTGTGTGTAACAATTTAGGCTACCTAGTAGTAGAGTCTTTCAAGAGATTTCACGATTTTAATTATTTCCTTTGCGAAGGCTGTTGTTATCGTCAGAAATCAGAAAATCTTAATATATTTGCATTGCCAACCGTCATACTATTTTTATTATTATAAACAAGATGATCTAGAAAAGCAAAATGAATTTTTTTGTCTTATCTCGAACAAGCAGTCACTCTGGAAGTCAAATCGTGATAAAATTTATGTACTTTTTAACTCTTATTGAATCGATAGTGCATTCAAATGAAAGCTGCGCTTCTTCCATTTCATCCTGTTCAATGCAAAATGAACTTTTATGGTTTTTTTTTTGTAGTTTTGATCTTTGAGAGTGCGATGGGCATGCAGTTTCTCCTCGACATAATTATTTTAAAATTTCAGATAACAAGAAAAGGGAAAGTGATGGAAATGATTTGAATATATTCCCAACTTCTCCTGTCTTGAAGCTCTTGAACTATAAGGTTTGTACGAGGAGAATTGTGATGTTGATAGCTGGACATGTTTACACCAGTCTTTATCCTGTTTAGCTAGCATTCGCTGTAAACCATACCTTTACGATGACAAGTGAAATAAATATTATGAATTCAACACTTTTGTCTTGAGTGTGTGTTTTTCGTTAGTTTTCGTGTACTTCTATGCGTTTTAAACTTCCTCGCTGATGATTACCCGCTTGGGGATGTGCTTTTTCTGATCATTTTTACACCTGTAGCTCCCCTTTTGGATGACATGCTGACTAGCTTTAAAGGTTTAAATCATACAAAGATACAGTAGTGACACGGTGTCTTAGCCAAAAGTTCAGATAATTGTTACCACCCATTTTATGCTGATTGAAACACGTGGAGGCAGAGCGAAGCATTTTTTTTTTATTCGATTAGTGTTCACGATTTGGAATAACTTTCTTTGACTCGATAGAACGTTTTTCATTTGAGTGTCGAAAAGTAATTGGTTTCGCATCAACTATGCTACACGATTGGCTTAAAAACCTCGCGCCACTCTTTCATCCAGTCAGAAGCAATACTGACTCGCTCGCACTCGTTTTCCCGCGCTTTTCGTCAGCTACGTGCAATGATTGGTCCACTGGATTTTCTGTGTCCTCTGTGATTGGCTAGGGTGATTACTTTGGTTTTGGTTTTACGACACTCAAATTATCCACGCGTTTGCCAATATCATTTTGTTTGGACAAAATGTGGCGAGTTTCAGTGAGAGCAAAAAATTCTGAGCTGGGCCCATGACTTTCCATATTCAGTTTGGGCGCTCTCATAAGATCATCTCTGAGACCCCGTCCCCACTACGCCGGAAAACTTTATTTCTACTGTTAGGCCAGCCGTCCGCCCTAATCTGTCACAAGAGCAGAGCTTTTCGAAAACGCTCTTTAAACCGATGAATTTGAAAACGCCGGCTTTTCTTTTTCGCGTGAACGAAGAACATTTTGAAAACAGGCTTTTTGATGACGATGGCGTCAGGATAAACATGTGGTTTTCCTCAAAAACAAATCCAAAATGGCCGACTATATTGCGCTTCGAACCTGGGGAATGATTGAAATAAGCGTCTTGGGGGATAAGAATATTTTAAAACGGAAACTTCTTGAGGGAATCCTGCGTTACAGAACAATAAATTTAAACTCTTGACCTTTTTTGACAAAATAGCCTAATGTTAGTTGAGGATCAAGAACTGGAATTACCGGAATAATTTATACTTGAAGCGGAGAAATTTTAAACGGAAAGAAAATTCTATTCTTGTTTAACCGATTTGACCATGGTGGTGAATATAGACAAACCATTGCACAGGTCATTAACAAAATCTGTTACATTCCACACACAGGTTTTCTTTCCGGCATGGCTGGGAAATTTATTTACTTGCCACCTACAGGAGAGAACGCTTATTCCAGACTTTTCTTGGTTTAAAATATACTTTTAATATTTTGCATATTTTCCTCAAAAAAAATTGAACAAAGCGTGGATGGTAATTTGTATACCCCACTTGGTAAAATTCGCTATTTATTTTCAAATGTCAGTTCCTTAACAGTGCTAGTAGCTTGTCGAGAATTCAGAGAAACGGAGAATCGAAGTATAGTCGCTTATTACGAACAGACTCGCTATCGGTATTTGTTGAGTACATGTAAAAAGCTTTCATGCGTGTCAAAACAAATGGCAAAAAAATTAACCAGAGCCGATGACTAATTATTACGTTGCGTTCCCGCCGCAAGAATAAAAAACTAGCCAATCAGCATAGCTGTAGTATCTTCTGACCAATTAGAGCACGGATTAGTTTACTGACGAGAAGTTCAGATACCGAAGGAAGAAAAGTAAATTTGTGAAGTGATGATCGCTCTGGTTGGGGTTTGCACGGAGTTCTTGGGGAAACTTAGGTCAGTGAATTAATTTTTCTGCAAGAAATTTCTGTTATATTTGCATTACAATTAGTATTTAAGAATAGATATATTAGCGGGGTTTGTTCCTATTGCAGTCGAGAAATGATTAGCTTACTTAAAACAGTGCTGATGATGTTCTTGGCAAATTCAGCTCAGGTTTATAAGCTTAGCTCAGTTGGTCGCTTTGTATTTTTCGAAACGACTTAGGCTTTAAAACTCCCACAAATTTGTGTCTAACCGCTAAGCAAACAATGCGTGGATTTATAGCATTCATCACTTCAGCTTACCAATTCTCATTGAAATGAAAAATGTCTTTATGTAAACACTGGTTTTTCTTTCTTTAAAAAATGGACATTGTTTGTACTAACAAAATTTCGATTGGTGCTAGACGTAATATTTAAACAACATAAGCTTTAATGGGAGTAAGAAAATTTTTTGTCAGGCTTATAATTCGATAACGTTTGCAGTGGGTAATTATTTAATGAAGGCATCTCTTGATATTGGCTTGGCTTTTCAAAGCTTTCTTGGTCTTGAACTTCCAAAACATTTAATTATCTTATTCATGTATCTTCAAAACATTCATGTATCTTAAGTACTATTTGAAATTTACTAATTGAAATGGGATTTTTTTTTCTGGGGCCAGTGGGGGAGAGACCTTTCTAAGGGTCTGTTCACATGGAAGCGGGGGACCCCGGGGAGATGAGGTACCTCACCTACCCATGGTAAAGAAATACTTGCCTTCACATGTAACCCCAGGGACTTGGAGTGAGGTCCAAAATGTAATGCAATTGCATGGTCGCTAAGCATGCACATAAACAGAGAACTAACATTTGTTTTCTTCGTTTGTTCAGATGAAGCTGCTTTTCGCTTCAGTGTCATTGTTATTGTTGCAGGCAAAACTTCAGTTTGATTCTGCTGATTAACCTGACTATCTGATTCCACGCTTAACTTTTCCAGCACTGTCAATTTCATCAGAGTTTTGGCAGTTTTGGTAGTGAAATCGTTGAAATAACTCGCCATGCTCGTAGTGGCTGGCAGCCACATTGTTCTGCCTTGTGTTTTGGCAGGCTTTGGCACAGTGATTTCATTACCCTGGTTAGGTGCGTTACCCTACTCCGCAGTTTTCACGTGGAGAAAACTCACCCCACTCAAGTGAGTCACCTGGACTGGCTGCCCAGGTAACCCGCCTTGGTGGGGTATCCCACCTAACATATGAACGTGATCAAGAAAAAAGAGAGATTGTATGGATAGATTGGTTACCCCACCAAGGCGGGGGACCTCACCTGCCTGAGGTCCCTGATGTCCATGTGAACAGGCCCTAAGTCAAACGTGCACTGAAATATATTTTTCTTTCCTCTTGGCAGTACACACTAGTGCCAAAGGGAATACCCTCTTTCCTACATTCTGAACAGGGTTTTGGCAAATGACAACCAAATATTCAACAAGAATAATATTCTTTATTTACAAATGTATTTACAAGTACATTATATATATACAACATCATCTATAGCCCCTTAATGTATCCTACACCCATCTTTATCCCTCTCTAATGTATTCCATTATTGTGCAGTTCAGGAAAATATCCATACCCACTCCATGGGGGTTATGGAGGAGGAGGCTTTCAAAAGCCAAAATTTTAAAGAAAAGTATGAAGCTAGACTGGAATTTCCAGAATGGTGTGGGGTTTAAACTAAAAATTTTTCCACAGAAGGGTATGGATATTTGCTGGAACTACGCAATTTATACCAACATGGGTGGTAACTAATACATTTATATCATTTTCTACCTTTATGTATTGGTTTACTGCCCACTCTCTACATTGCCACCGGAAATTTAAATAAAACTAGTATGATGGGGTCCATACAAAGAAGTTATGTTTTGCTACATATATACTATTATCTGATCATTGAGATGGTCAAATTAATGGTACACTAAATTGGTGTAGAACCATCTACAAAGAATTCCAACCTGACTAGATGCTAAATAGATGATCCTTGCTAGGGATGTTAGAAGTTCACTTACAGTGTCTTTAGCCATTTCCAGACAATTGCAAACATATAATTTCATGTCAAACACTTCACTACCAGCGACACAATTAGAATTGATTTAACCCATTACATCATGAGTAAGAAAGTACTTGTAGTCATCAAAATTGTAATGTAACTTCATATTTAGTTTCTTATCCAAAATAAATTGAATTATGCAGAGAGGAAATTTCTTCTCTATCTCTAAAACATGAAAATGTGTGTGTTTATCCATAGGATATATCACTAGGCAGTGAATGTGTTGTTCCAGAAAATATCCATGCCCCTCCCACGGAAAGTTTTTCAGCTTGAACCTCCTCCCCCCCACCCCTCTGGAAATTCCATTTTAGTGCCATACTTTCCTTTAAAACATTGGGCTTTTGAATCCCTCCCTCCCCCTTGGAATTTCTGTTAATCTTCCTTGGGGTGGATATGGATACTTTCTGGAACTACACAATACTCAAACACTGTTGTACCAATGTTTAAACTCTGGCTGAACTGTTGCATAAAATTATTATGGTTTGTATTCATTTTAATATATACTTATAAACAAACAACTAAACAACAGAGTAGCTTTTTGCAACCTTAATAATAATTAATACGATTACAATACATGTATTGAGAGTTCAAAGGCATTCATTAACATAGCTAAGAATAAGTTGCTATGGATTTAAGGCATTCTGTGAATTGGGAACATTTAAATTTATATAATGTAACTTACATCATGCTAGCACTAAATGTCTTTCCCTTGGGCACCATTAACTGGTCAGGCCCTACTCTTTTAGTTGATATTGCCTGGAAAATATTGAAACACTGAAATTTATTCTGCTATGCAGCACACTCTATACCAATGCTATATTTAACATGGTAATAACACACCTTGCTAAACCTTGATGCAGATCTTTAAGCACTTTCCTGCTCATCACAAGAGATTTGCCTATATAAAAGCTTGTGGGTACACAAAACAGGGCTCACATTAATTTTATGGGAGGAAGTAACTGCTAAAATGTGCGCTGTTCCCATTATGTTAATTCTTGTTATTTTCCGCATCATACTGTCCAAATTGTCTTCCACATTTTAGCCATTAAAATGCACCTTTGCACTATAAACTATGGAAAACCCTGTGAAAAGACTCTACAAGCACCTGTCATCAGTAAACACACTGTAGATCATATGAGTACCTAATCTCTCCTGGAACCACATAATGAGCTGTAAATTAGCTCTTACAGCCAAAACTGATCAGTTGTTCTGTCCCTAGTCCTCATCAATTCTCAAAAGTGAGCAACAATTTCCGACAACATCTGAGAGTAATTCTGCTCCACATTCAGGGAAGGTAAAGTCACAGACTTGTCACCCTCATGAATTGATACACAAGAGAGTGACGTATTAGCCCCTGTAGTCTGCTTGTTGGAGTTTTCAAGTGAAAGTTGAGGAAACATCTTTTCTGCCAGGCTATCCATCATGCAGGGGTCCTCTTCCAGTTTTGGCAACTGGCAGTGAGTTAAGTCTGACTGTACTCTTCTTGGTCTACAAGGAAAAAATAATTCATATGTGAACTTAGTACAAATATCGCATCATTTTGAACAGTGAATTAATTAAACACACTGCAAATTTTGTGGGTAGAGGTTGACTTATGCTCTTGAATTTGCTTGAGTACCTGCCCTAGGCATCACTCTCAAAAATTGGCTTGTATACCCTAGGCCTAAGCCGCTTATATACAGTGTTAGACTACTAACAGTGCAATACTAACAAATACTAACAATGAGACCCCTTTGCATCGAATGGAAACATTTTTTGACACTTGGAGATTTTGTGTGCAAATTACAAAACATAACTGTTTTGCTGCATAATTGCCTTATCTTGCTGCAAAATAAAACGTTGTTCAGCTTGGTATAATCATAGTTTTTAATGTTTGGGAATTTCTGTTCAGTAATTATGTGTCCCATGATTTGAAGAATTTCCCATTTTGGTCATAGCAAGAAATTTGGCATAGTGGTGACACCATTGGAACTGGTGCAAATGGTGCAAAATGGAAAATGGTACTACCATTTCAGAAGTTCCATTTCTTCTATAAAAATTTCCGGTGGAGTTCATGAACCAAAAATGTGCATTTCATTCACATTGTGACCAGAATTTCCAGAATTTTTTGTAAAATTATGGAAAAACAACCACTTTGTCAAATTTTATCTCTTTTGTGGAAATAACTCAATGTTAAGCTACATGTTAAGGTTATTGAAAAACCTCAAATACACTGGAATGAAACAGTTGTTTGTTGATAGGAAGTAAAATCATTGTGAAATTTGTTTTAATGTTGTCAGATTATAAAATTTAATGAAGTAAGGATTACTTGTGGAACATTCACCATATGGTAACCACAGCAAATTGTGAAAATTGAACTTTTTGCAAGGGAAGTTACTATAGCACAAGGTTACCTGAAATGCCCATGAAATACAAACTATTTTGCGTACAAACTGTTTTGAGTTTGAAAATGAATCTCTGCTTTGTTCTCACTGTACATACTATATTTAAGCTTCCTCGTATGCTGTATACCTGTAATGTCTCAGTCAAGCATTTTACTGTAGCAAATAATGTGCTGTAAGTAGAAGGAATTTATTTCACCATGCTGATGTTTATGCACTTCAAGCAATATCAAGAAAATCTGTTCAGTTGTTACAGTGTTGAAGGCCTGATATTGGTTCATTTTAAAACTGAATGCTCAATATACTTGATTGTTGGCTTCCTTTGGTTATGCTGCCTTTGTTAACAAAAAAGAGTTCATTTCCCTTCCCTGCCAATTTAGGACATGGAGTGCAGAAAATTTTCCTACCGAAGCAAATATCTTGACATATAACACATCACTGTTGGTCCAATACCAATCAGACAATGATGCTTTATAATGCAAACCCCTAGCTAATAAACACTGTCTCAAAAGTTTGAGTAGAATTAAATAATTTCCAAGTAGCTCAATGGTTTTTAGTAAGTATTTTTTGACTGGGGAGGTAAAATTACACACCATATCTGCTGCACTGTGAGACAAAATCTGTCACTAGTTGCAACTACAGTGTAGTTAGCAAACAAAAACAATTGTTTAGTCACACATGGTTAACAATATGATGAATATGCATGACTTAACCAATATGAACTGTAGGTGAAACTTATATGTGAGCAACTGACCACCATGTGAAAATATAACATATATATAATGTAAGTTATGGACACAGCTGTTTTTTTAACTAGTTGATGTAAAAACATGAACACAACCAAATGTTTTATACTAGTATTAGGTACATGTACTATGGGTATGTTTGCTGTGCTTCTGCCTATGCATGGCAGTCAATTAAGTATGTTGTTTTGTACCTTCAGTACCTAACAAAAGTGGAATGTGTTCAAACAGAACCCTAACATAGAGCACTAGCATGACCAAAACAAAATTCAGTTTTCAAACAAAGACAATGGCTTCCTGTGATAAAGATACTAGGGAGCTTAAGCAAATCACGACGACGACGGCAACAAGAACGTCACTAAACAAAAGGTTTAATGACCAAAACAATGGCTGTGCACGTGGGTTATAATTCTTGGTACATATCTTTGCCTTCTGCAAAACAACAACGTGAAATGACCAAGTTCTGCGTCGTCTACTGAACGTGGACGACAACGGCTAATTTTTCGTATTTCCATTTGGAATTGAACAATGTCATTGCATATTTAGCCTGAGCACGTTTTTAGAGCCATTGGCGTACCGAACAGATCTAGACAATCGCGAATTTTGCTGGTAAAATATAAATTCATTTTCTACTAGGCGTCATCCTCGACGTCGTCATCGTCGGTGCCTAAGCTCCCTACTGTGATTTGGAGGTGTTAAGATTAAAATTAATGAAGACACTTTTAGAATTTTCTTCTTTAATTTCACTTGTTAGAATAGAGTGCAAGCAGGGTGTGGTTTTGGTTTAATCAGTCCTCATGCCAGTTTTATCAATCTCTTGACCGCAGACAACAATTTAGCCCCTGGCTTTGATTAATGAGAACCTCTGTCTGACACATGAGCCACAATGAAACGTTCTAAGATGCTTTTGATTGTTATGCCCCTAGGACAAACTCATCAAGTCTGCTGACATAATGATTGCAAAGTAATTTATGTGAAAGAACCCAGACTGCCAAAAAAAAAAATTAGGTACATTCATGTCCAAAATATTATTTATCTTTGTTCCTTAAACCTAGGTACTAAATGTGAGGGTGTGCCATATTGTATTACACCTCTAAATGAAGAGTAATCTTATTCATAGTAACAGTGTTTCAGTGGCTGGTTACAACTCCTTTGTTTGAAGTTGTTAAATATCTTGAAGTTCCACTATCACTCTGCTAACTAAGGAATGTTGCTGTTTGAATTAACCCATCACTCTACTTTTGGTATAAACTGGGATGCCTGGCCAGTTATAATACTTATAACTTAGTGAACTTGCACAAGGGATCTAGTATAGACAGTGATGACTGTCAGTTGTTAAGACATGTGGAGACTGATTGTTATTAAGACCATCTTGTCTCCTTTTTTAAATGGATATTGTGTGGTTAGTTTTGTTTTCCACATAGCCTGAACCTCCTTCAGCTGTTTTATGTAAAACAACCCAAACAATGATTAATTTCCGTTCAAAGGGCACTGGATTTTCCAGCCCCGTGTGAGAGAATTTTTAGGTGAAGCTAAGTGGTTAGTGAAAGTTAGTGGCCATCAGGATGGTTTTAAATTGTATATTTTATACTGCTGATGGACGGGATCAGTTAATACAATAACATGTGCAGTCTGTTGCATCAGGCAGCAGGAAGTCTACAAATTTTTATTGTGTACAGAAAAAAGTAAGGTAAATTCTCACCTTCCTCTTCGGATCACAAATTTCTTTGTCTTGTCCTCCTCTACAGTCTCAAATAATTTTAAAAGTTGTTCTTGTGGAGAAGTAATCACCAACTTAGGCTCCTTTGGAGGTCGAGGCAAATATTTCTCTTCTGGAGGAGTCACTGGCCTTACTTTGCTAACATCATAACTTGTGTTGTTGGCATTGTGAAATAATGGTGGTAATGATGATAGTGTCCCTTCTGTGCTCATTGAGCTATTCTGGATATCCTTTGGTTCTTGCCAAAATGACTGAGGCAGAGCTCGCATTCTCATTGGAAGAGGACCTGTCATAGTTAAGTGAAACATGAGCTTTTTTTTTATTTGGTTGAAATGTAAGTTTAAGTTATGCACTGATCAATGAGATACTTGCCACTTCAAAATTGAGAACAAATTCTGCTTGGCAAGATTTACTCATCTATATTGTTGTGAAATGAAAATCAAAGAACACTCATCTTTGGAAGGGTGCCCAACATTACTCCTCCTGAGGTGTTGAAAGTACGTTAACAGTTCCTTGAAGTATGACTCATGGCACTGTACTGTGCCATATCCAAAAAAATTAAAATAATACCTCTTGTGAGTGGGAATCTAAAGAGTTGGTTTGGTTGTATTGAAACTACATATCTAAATATGTATCACTGCTAGTAGCTTCACTCAATAAAATCTATTAAAGGCTCCTTAAAAGCCCTTAAATTAACATTACTTTGAGACCTGCTGCCTTATGAGAAGTTGTGATATTGACTAATTTTTTTTCTAGCATTCTATTTTTAATTTGTCCGGTACGTTCGTTACCTTAGCTAAAAGTAAGGATATTAAATGAAGCTGATTCTTATCAAATTGCATTGGTGCAACTGTGAAGTTCTTTCACTGTTTGATATTTCCTACCGATTTGCTCAGCTTAAGCATATTTCTCAAATTTCTGTGTTATATAATTTGTCAAACATGTTGAATTGAATTCAGGCATTACAAGTGGAACTCTTTGCCAGCTGTTAAAAAGATATATATATCATGTGTAGCTTATCAGCATGCCTGTAGACAGTTAATATTTCAATGTAGACCCATATTAACCCTACAGCACATCTAGCCAGACTGTCTGGCTTGCTCTTCTCCTGTTCAACCACGCCTGAGATTCATTACCTAAAGATTTATGTTTCTGAATACAATACTATGACTCTTACCCACACATGTACTTTTTACAATCTGTGAGAGTTTGAAAATTGAGGCCAAAAATGACCCAAAACAAATCTTATTTTAGCTTTGTTGGCTTAACCAAATGATTAGCTCTATGATGTTAATCTAAACACTAACTAAACTAGGATATTTTGCAGCGGACTCTAGTTTATCAAAACTTAAGATAAAAGTCCATTGCCTCCTAATATATTTAATATTCAATCTTGATTTCAGAAGCCTTTTAACCATTTACCACTGAGTTACGTACTTTTTCTTGAAGCAAATATCAAGAAAATAGAGCTTAATGAAAGATCATTGGCAAGTGCAGGAAATATAAAATCCATTTTGTAGATATAAGTACCATTTTGTGTTAATGAAAATAAGAAATCATTTTCAGTGATGTATATCAAATATTACTGCTTTGTATTAAGATCTTTCCCAGAGATTGTATTAAGAAAAGGGAATTATTATTCTATTACACTGAAGGCAATTTTAGACCAAATGTGACATGTTACAGAGATGTGAGGTAATTGATACTAAAGTTGGCTTGTAATCACAAGAATAACAGCATTCCAAGTTTTGCAAAATCTTTAAAAACAACAATATTTAAGGTTCAAAGCATTCGGATTAATTCCAATTTCAGGTATTAATCACACAGCATGTAGAAATTGCTTTGGATGAAAAGTTTCTCTGCTCTTTTTATTGAGATCAAAACGTGAAATCATAAGATTTGAAAATGTTGGCTGCAATATCGTGTCTGAGATCTGTTATGTCCATTGTTAGCTGTGAGTTGACAACAAGGAAAGAGAAATTAATGGCTGGTAAATGCACTTGGTTTTCTATAGAAGTCATTTATCAGTTGTCCTGCAAGTTGACAAGTGAATGTCAAATTAGGCCTGTTGTATTCCACATCAAGACTACTGAACAATCGCTGTCACTTGTCACTATACACGCATGCACCCCTGCATGCACCGTGCATATGTGCATCAGAAATTTGTTTGAACCCTGATAAAAAGTGACCTTTTGCTGCCACAAATCGCTTTTTCATACTTGTAAACCTTTATCAGTCTGCGGAAAAGTAGAATAAAATAGACGATGTCTGTGGTGGATGTTGCTCTTTTGATCTGCACGTTAGTGAACAGTTTTATTATTTACGAAACTTTTGACCGTCAACTTGATATACTTAAAAAAGAAAAAACCAGAAAAAGGTCGATCTAAGTTAACAAAGGAGTGGAACCGACAACTCTGTCCTTTAATATATTCTTCTAGTCCCAATGAAAACCATTACCTGTATAACTTCGGCACAGTGAAGCGTAAATATACTTTCCTCAGTGATTAGTTTTAGAATTAACATACTGCATACGTGTAGGAACTGTTACGCTAAATTTCTCTGATTTATTTGAAACTACATGCGCATTACACGAGCAAGTGTTACATCTAAGTGCAGTTGTTCAGATGAACTTAAGTATACAGGAGATATCGCACATATCGCGCACAGTTGTATTATGTATATCTGTCCGTGTTCGTCTATCCAAAACGTTAAGTGCCACAACATCTTTTGTGATGATGCCATCTTCACCTCGTACATTGTGTTGTGTTATACCACCGCTGCTCAGTGTGTAACCTCTGCTAGTTGAGCTCCTATTTCTGCATGTTTCATCAGGGCACAATCATAAAACTACCGCTTAAACATTGAACTGTACATGATACGAAGGCGATTTGTTATGATCATGTTCGCGATTTGCATGACAAGCATTAGGTTCTGCCATGGTCACGAGATGTTTTAATAGATCTTCGACATGCTTAAAACTGATTTGGCATGTTCAATGCGGGAATTCGCGAAAAAAGGACTAAATCCTGAAGTATATTGCTTTGTGTGTAAACTGTCCTCATGTCAAATGTACAGTAGCGTGCAGGCATTATTTTACATTGGAAACTTAATAGTATTGCCATTTGGTTTCAACTCGTCTTTGCAAACGTGTAATCAGTGAAGCTCGGCACGGTTCGTGCTAAGGAATAGACACCGCAAATAACTCGCTACTGCGCAGAAAGTTTTTGGCTAAATACAGAGACACTATGTCGATCCACGGACCGGCGGCCACATCACATATGAACGACGTCTATTCAGCTATCCGACGACCCTCTGTGGAAGTGAAATGTTTATATAAAACAAAGAGCCGCAAGTAAATACGACAACAATATATAAAGCGATTTTCACGAAAAATATGTTTGTTAGGTAAACGATGAACGAAACAGAATAGGTGCTCTGGTCGCATACTTGTCTTTGAAAACACTAGCAGCATCGAGGCCGCTGTCAAAATCTAACAGAGCGCAGCTACCGCAGGGCAAGTTACTTACCCGGCATTAAAACTATTCCCAAAGCGCAAGCACGCAATAGGAAAGTCACGTAGACTCAGGCCAGACTTATTTGATTGGTAATCTTAGTACAAGCCAACATCTTGTATCATGAATGAACTCTTGAAAATACAGTCACACCGTGAGAGAAGCTTGCGCTTGTTTTCAAGTAAATGAGATGTCATAAAACTTTCCACACCGAAGGCCACTACTGCCGTCGTGATGATTGTACACGGCCAAATTCGTTTATAGCCTTGTTAGTGTTCGATTAGCACACCCCAACCACAAAATATCACCCACCAACCGATTATAGCAAAAATAAATCGTAATTTAAGTTAAATCTTGGTCGATTCACCGCAATCTACTAAGGTAGATCTCATTTGACTACTAATAAAGCGATCGAAGGCGGCTGTGGGAGAGTCAGGCATCATTGAGTATCACAAAGTAACGTACCTCGCTTGGGTTTCAGTCTAGCTTCAAGCTTATTGAAGTCTGGTGATGTCTCCCTTCGTTTCAGAGTAAGATTCCCAGCTTGGGATAGTAAAAGTCTTTGTTTTCGGCCTCTCTTAGATAGTTCCTTAGCGCCAGTTTCGCGGATTGGACTCAACAACGCCGGAGCGGCGACCCTGTTTAGCGAAAGACTCTTGCCTCTCACAACAAGTGGAGGAGGCGATTGAGGGGAAGAAGGTCCGCACGGACTTGGAGGAGACCTCCAGTTTAAAGTATCCTTTTGCTGAGTTCGTTTTCGTAGAGGATCCATTCTAGCCAAGTTAGTTCACTAAAAGATTACGCTTTCTTGCAACCTTCCGGTTAGAATACTACGTACAGCAGCAGTCGATAAGTGGCGGTGTTAGGTTTCCAGTTCAATTTAGCATAGAGTATTTTGCCCTGACGCGAAATGCCTTTCCTTTGAAGAAGCTCTTAGGTGCCAGTTTAATCCCATTTCAAACCTGGATTGGAAAACTTTCCGAGCGAGCTTTACACATCAAAAAAGATTCGCGCTCGAGGTCAGTCATTCGCCTTAGCTGTCGGTTTCCATGTGTTTTCGCGCGTTACTAATAAACTCTGGGTTTGGCGGCACAACGTGATTGGTGAATATTTACGTCACTAGATCCTCCTTCCATTGGTCTGCTTCACGTGTTACGGCCTTTTGTTTCAATTGTTGTCTATTGTTGTCAGGGATCCGGCTGGAAATTTCTGACACATTCCACAAAGAATTTGCATACACTTCGGTTTAGTTCATCGCTAATAAAGGAAACATCGTCAACCTGTTTTCGGGTAATTGTGCTGCTGAAAAAAACAAAAGCGTTTGATGTCTGGAAACAGAACAAGATTTCTTCAAGAAAACTGGAGGGTTACGCGCTATGTGAAGTGCTTTCTTAGAGATAAATATACGACTTGTCTACCTGAAGTCGGATAATATAATCCACTGAACGCAGTTTATTTATGTTTATGTCTTGTAACGAAAGCCTGACAAAACCGTACACCGCTTCGATTTCCGTGGAAGCCGTGTTTGGGAAATGGTACAAAAGAGCCCTCCAAAAAAGAAATTTGGAGTGCGACAGGGTAATCGTGAAAAGTTGACTTAATTATTACTTTCTTCCTTATCTGAAAATATCACAACGAAAACAGACTCGAAGATACCAATTACGGTCAAAGAGGAGAAACCTTCTGCCGCACCCGCTCTCGGGTGCCTAGAGACCCAAATAAACAAATTGAGATTCATACGCGCCCGGAACACAAGGCAATATTTATCTCAAGTGTGCCTGCTTCGGTCGCGTGAGGTCCGGGATATAACGTTTTTAGATACAACAGGACACGTTTACAAAAATCCAGGCATTATTGTACGTCAACGTTTTGCGTATAAGGAGCTAACTAGTCTAGCGCGTGAAAAGTGCGAAAAACCGGCGAGATCTTGATCAACAACTCGAACCAAGTGACTTGTTGCGCGTGTCATGCGTAGGAACTCTAAATTGATCAAATGAAAAACGCTCGCGACATTTAGACATGTAGACATAAACAGTGAAATTGAAACTGATTATCTTTTGTAGGACTGAAAATAGCTACACACCACATTTTTCTCATGTTCAAACGTCTTACTCCCGATCTCCTTTAGATCGTGGACGTGTCTGTTTGCTTGGTTTTCAGGGGGGGGGGGTACATCTAGAACTGTGTTTTTAAAATGTACAGGCTAGGCGGAACTTAACGTAAAAGTCGTGTTCCGCCCAGACAGCCTGAGCTGTATTGTGAAAACATGGGCTTTTCAATATCGAGTTGTCTTTTTCGTGGTACAACCTCTTGCAAAGGTATTGTAATAAAAGAGATATTATAGGGCAAGGCTCCCCATAATCGTAAGTATGTCCTTATGACCTCTTTGTATGGGGCCGCACTTTCTTGCTCCTCAATGTTAATACCATTAACAGACACTGCTTTGTTGTACCGTCAGTTCTTGCTGATTACTTTTTTTATACTTTTTTTAATTTAATTTTTTTTTTTAATTTTTCAGGCTTAAGGTATAAGAGGATTTGATCGGTGGGACTGGGGTGTTGTCTGTCAGCTAGCGCTCCCCCGGACACAGTTCAAGGCGAGGCGGAAACAAACCAAATCATTGACGCAACGTCTCCAGTCTGCCTCGTCACCTCCGCTTTATATCACGATAGCTCGGGATTGAAATAGACACAGGAATCCAAGCTAATCATTGAAAAGTAGTCTGCAAAACAAGTAAATGCGATCAGTTGCGCTAAGTAGCCTTTTGTTTGGAGAAAACCGTGTTTGAAGACATGTTTTCTATGCCAAGACCGCGCGTGGTGTTTGCCTCGCTAAAACTTCGGCTTACATTGATGATTGATTTCTGAATTTGTGCGTGTGCTTGTGTTTTTTTTCTTCATGGTCTACTGTTGATGGATTTACTATACAAAAACAATATCGGAGGGAACTGAGACAGGTTTAGGCAGATTAACCGCTGCAGTATGAGCCAATATGTATCAAAGCCATGTTCGTTTTCTTTGACCTCTCTGCGTAATTCTTTTTCTTGTAACATCTCGACTTTTTTAGATTATATAACGGCACATAACATGGCCACAAAGGGGGCAGGTCATTTAATTTCAACTAACAAGATTTATTAGACTCTTTTAACCAGCTTTACCTGACTCAGTTGTAGAATAGACAAAATCACGCGAACTGCCATCTTTATATCGTTTACACCATTTTTTTCTCGAATCAGTGTATAAATAAATAAAAAGAAACATGTTTTATCTTCATGAAACATAATCCTTATTATCGTCTATTGCAGTATTCACTGTGAAAAACATTGTAACATAACACGGAAAAACCGCAAACTATTGTTCTGGAGATGTAATTCTGTTCTCTGCGGTTCGTATTGTTCCTCTTCTTGTTTGTTGGCGCCCGTTTTTCTTCCGCCCTAGTCGACACCATGACGCCTTTTCTGTGCGAAGTCATGCAGAGTTCTCATGTTTTTCTCATTTCCTCACAGCACTTGTTACGGATGTAACTGTATTTTTATACTGTGTAGAGCTAATGAAATCTTTGGCGGTTTTTTTGCAAGCCAGAAGCTTGCAATCGCGTGCGAAATTGCTCACTCGTGCTTACTTCAGCCATTAATTTCAAGCACATCTTGCGTTAACACTCAATAATGTGATAAAATTTAGAATGTGTTGTTATTCACGTGTACAAATTAAGTAATGTCGTTAAATACAACAGGGTAAAGGTCCAAAAGAGAAGTGTCGCACAGGTCTTTATGATCATTTCTGTTGACTTTCTCGCTTACGAAGATCCCCAATATTTTCACCTTTCTCAGATTCTGTCCACTGATGACTTCATAATTTTTGTTTTTCTTTCTTTAGTTTTAACATTGTTATATTTAGCCTGTGAAAACAGTCGGTTTTTTCGCCTTTTGTGTCATGGCGGTGTTTTACGATACCGTCAAAAAACAGGGAAAACTACAAATAAAGCAGGGTTCTAATGGGGGTGATGAACTCTCGGTTGTCAGAAAATTTTCAGCGATTTCTCAGCTATCAGTTAAAATTCCGCCTCTCTCAGTCACCAGTAAATTTTCATCAGTTATCGATTGATAAAGAGCCACCCAGACCTTCAAAAAAACCGTTACTTTGGCGAGCAGCGAAGCTCGTACACAGCTTCATTGCGCATTGGGTTAATTAATTAGATAGGCACGGAGTATGGAGTGTTGGAACTTAATTGTCTTAAAATCTCATCGATCTTCCGCAACTCAATGATGTTTTAAGAACCGTTAAGTACGGTGCGTGCAGACGTTTAATTCTCCTTCTTTACACCGTCTGCACGCATGGTGAAGGCTAAACACGTTTTGTTTCCTTTTCATTGTTAAGTAGTGTTTATTACTCCAGGTCACGCGCGGGGGCAGTCGTGGTCCCTTGAGTGGGTCAAGTTGGCGGCTCGTCAGTTATAGAAATTCCTACATACCAATTAAAGTTACCTATTTGTGTCCACCTGCTAATCCTAAAATTACGTTAGTCACTGCAATTCTGTTTCAATAATTGTTGAAAATTTTTATGTATTCCTTAAAGGCCTCGGTTGCTGGTTAAGCGTGAAGTGGTCAGCTGAAGTTGCTGACGGCTGTAAAAGAAGCCTAATATTTACAATGTCTTATATTGGTTCTTTGTAAAATGGAAGGAAATCCTGCGTTGAATGCCGCTAACAACATCCTTCAGCAAGGAAACGATATAGCATTCATCTGTTTCAACGTATTTCACGCGTAATAGGTAGTACAATATGTACACTATCATTTCTACCTTCAATATTTTGGTCGTAAGAATTTTCTTTAGAAATATTTGTAGACTGTAAGGTATCCGTGTAGTGAAATGCTATACCCTCGCTGAAGCGCGTCACGATAAGAGAACTTTTAATCAGTCCGCAGATGAATGACAGATTAGAAAATTCCAAGGGTTTTTGGTCGAGTTAGGCGGCTTTGCTACAGGTCAAGACCGAACTGAAAGACGAAGTTGGCTTACGTTTTGATTACGCAAAGCTACGACAAAATTTAGTTAGCATAAATAAATCAAAATAGCCATAAATTCCAACCGTCTAAGGTCTAGACAAAGTCAGCAAGTAAGTACGTAAGCGCGTAAGGTTTCCATTGAATCCTGTGCAACTGTAATATCTGGGTTAATTGCCTTACCTTAAAAGTTTCAATTTTGAACTTTCTCCAGATTGATAGATGATATTATGAGAAAAACTTCGTTTCATAATTCATTCTTTTTGTAGGCTGTTACAGTAATGGAAAGACGCTTCTTTCTACTTGTTCTCGTAAAAGGGTGAAATTACACGTTTTTAGATGGAATGCACTGATAAACGCAAACGTCCAGTTAATTTACTGTGCGCATTACTTATATACTATAACGAGCTTTACCATCAGGTAATAAATGATGGCCTGTAATTAAATTCCTCTTAACTGACAGTTCGAGGGATTTAAACAACCAGGGAAAAATCAGTGGTCAAGAGTCTTGGGAAACGGAAAAAAACATTGACAGTTCGTGAATTTGTAGAGTTATATTCACCAGTGACATTTAGAGCTTTCTAAAGGGTAGACTACGTTCCATCACCGANAATTTGTTTATAATAAGCTTGATTGGAAAGCTCTTGAGTTCAATCTCTTTCGCAAACGCCGTGTGAAACTGCATGTCTCTGAGTTAGCATAATTGTTACAAAAGTCAAGGTTCATGTTCTATGTCAATTTGTTCGCCTTTTCGTTTCCTGTCAGGTTTGAGAGTGCCATTCTTACAAGCTCTCACTTCAGGGTGCGTAATCAAATTTCCTCTTGACTGGAAGGATCTTGATAAGGCGAGACAGTCAGTTAAACTCAAATCACTCCACATTTTGAAACGATGTTATCAGGGGACTATTAAAAGGTGACATCTAAAAACTTGGTTATTGTAATAGTTCCAGTCATTGTTTTATTGTTTTACGGTTACGGTGAAATTTACTTGGTCACGGTACAGGCGTGAAACTTGTGAAGCGCTATAATTTCCCATCGAACTTTTCACACCCTTGGAGCCCGGGA